AACATATTAGTATCAACACATAGTAATAACCTGAAGAATTAATATTCAGTTTGAATTAGGTTATTTAATGATTTTATGTCAGAGATATGCCAATTGGAAACTGCACCTCAAAGTCAACCTTTAAGACAGCCCATGGTGTTCGTTTGCAACAGCTGACTTTAACAGCTGTTATTTTAACATTGAACTGTTAAGTTAACATTTAGGTATGTAACATAGTAGTTTGATCATTTCTTAACATGGTATCATTGAAAATACGGAAATTTGAATACTTGCGAAAAATGAGTTTTGGCCACGAAAACGGGTCAAATTCCACATAGTGCTATGGAAACTATATGATACAGTGGTCCGATTTTCATAAAATTTGACACAAACTTGTATATCAATATAAAATAGCTATATCTGAAATTGAATAAAAATCTGTTGAAAACTAAAAAAGTTGTAATTTTTAATTGTATTAACTTCTCGATCATTCATATGACAGCTTTATGATATAAAAGTCAGATTTATAGATATTCACCTATACATATTATATTTACAGGTTTACATTCACGGTTTTGCATTTTCCACTATATCTAACGATCATTTGAAATGTAAAACTGAAATCGTTATAACATTTAATTGTATTAATTTCACGATCGTTCCAATGGAGCTGTATGATATAGTAGTCGAATTTTCATAAAATTTTACACAAAATTGTAAAGTATATATTACTTTATATGGATATATCTCAAAGTTGATCAAATTCTGTTGAAAACTGAAAAAATTATAATTTTATTTTTTTTAATTCTGCGATCATTCCTATGGCAGCTATATGATATAGTCGTCTGATCCGGCCTTATATACAAGTGAGAGTATATAGAAGACTAACTACAAAGTTAAATTTAGATAGCTTAAAAACTAAGAGACTAGTTTGCGTAAAAACGGACAGACGGACATGGCTAGATCGACTCGGCTGTTGATCCTGATCAAGAATATACATACTTACCAATATGGTCGGAGGTGCCTCCTTCACTGCGTTGCAAACTTTTGACTGAAATTATAATACTCTGAAAGAGTACAAGATAAAATAAACAAAAAACGTGAATTACACATTAAAATTCTGTTTGGTTTACTTATTTTATTTGGTGAACTTGATTTTTTTAAATACTTTTTTTTGTATTCCTCAGGATCTTATTTTGGAGTTTTTGAACAATCCTAATAAAAAGAGAATAATATTTTCAATTAATGCTGGAGGTCAACTGTATCCCTCCTTCAATTTCCCCGTCAAGCCACGAACTAAAGTGGCATATTTCATACGTAGTTCTATTCCACTTAACTTGACAGAGGAAAATATGCTTGACGTAAGTTTTTACATGTTTCAAATTTTTGTTTTTAAGAGTTTAAATTTCTATAGGCTCTGATGATTGGCGACCTTCTTCCAAACCCTTTGGCTAATCTGTCAGTGCTCTGTGATGAAGTTTTTTTTCCGCTTCTTAACAACAAAGTCAATCAAACCGGTTGGACAAGCGTGATTGCAAATGACATGAAGACTGAGTCTCAGGAAATGCGCAATGGCATTGCTCAAATGAAAGGACTTGTTATCAATCGGACGATTTTTCCCCTCCCAATTTGTATGGATGAGGTTATGCAAGTTGCTCCAGCTATTGCTACAGGGTTTGTTTCGGAAATTGGGATTGTTTTGCAATGTCAAATTACTTAATATATACATTTTTGTAGTGATATTTCTGTAGTTAACCCTCTAATGAAGCACTCCCTTGAGTTCATGGTGGTAAAGTGGCTGGATTCAGTTGAAGATCTTGTAAATATAAAAGCAAGAGAGAAGATATACTCAAAAGAAAATTACCCTCTACCGGAAGAAATTTTATATTTTGGGAGTCACGGCTTGAGAATCTTGAGAGTTTGGCTGATCAGCTTGGAGATAGGCGAATAAAGACTATTGGTTTCGTTCTTGAGAAAATTCAATCAATATTTGAGCACTCTTATCGAAGAATTGTTGAACTCGTACTAGAGTCATTGGCTGAGGCAAGGGATATAACGAAATGTCTGGCTCCTTTGGTAAGACGATTTTGTAACCTTTTCTTAAAGAAAACAGTTTCTTTAAATATAGAGTCCCCTCTTATTATATCTTATTATTATCTTTGGCTACATACATTTTCTTTTCTTCTTATTCTTTAAATTTTACACACAATTGTGAAATAATATAAAATGGCTATATCTTAAATTTGATCAAATTCTGTTGAAAACTGAAAATGTTATAATTGTTTTTGTAAAAATTTTCTGATCATTCCTATGGCAGCTATATGATATAGTCGTCCGATCGAGCCCGTTCCGACATACATATATACGAGTGAGAGTATACAGAAAACTAACTACAAAGTTTCATTTTGATTGCTTTAAAACAGAGAGACCAGTTTGCGTAGAAACGGATAAATGGACAGACGGACATGGCGAGATCGACTCGACTTTTGAGTTTTTTGTAAAAATGCTGTTGACATGCACATAATACCTGACTTATTTTGATACCAGATTGAGAGTGTGATTGTTGTGTCTTTATTATATATATCGGGTGGTTGTTCGGCCATTAATTATTCGTTTACGTTTTGGTTGTCGTTACTAAAATTTTCTCTAATATTGGATGATAATATTAATAATATTTTTATTTTGTTAGTTTTGCTTTTCATATGGTACCGTAGACATTTATTTTATAAGCATCTTCTTTGGTTTATAGTTCATAGTTTTACTTGTCTCTGGCAAGTTGTCTTTAAAAGCCCGTAATGCAATTCGTGAAAGAAAAAAATTTCCGCTCTGCTAAGTTGATATCAAGTTAGCAGGGCTACTTCAGAAAACTTAAATATTTCCAAAAACTTTTTCCCATGAATGTTGATGTTTTCACATCAGGGAAAGTTCTGGGAGTCATGTAGTCTGTCTAATTTGCAGTTAATTATCCGTTAATTATTCGTGAAAGAATTAACTTGTCCTCAATTTTGTATATATTTATTAAATTTTTAAAAATACAAAGTTTATATCAAGTTAGAAGGATAACACCTCAAATCCTTCATATTTCCAAATCTTTGTCGTATAAGCTACCAAGCCAATGCAGCACATTCCAGGCGGAAGTCTGCGCCATAAGGAAGACGGCAGAGCTTGCGCAGGAAATAGGCAATAGGCGAGCAATCGTCAGCGGTTAGTTCCAAAAATGTAGTGGCAAGCAAGGTCGGACTACATATCCTAGGCACGACAACGTCAGTGCGGATCTACCTGGTTCCCAGACACCAGGGCATATATGGAAACGAAATCGCAGACGAACTTGCAAAGGAAGGAGTAGGACTGGCTATCGATAAAACAGAAAACGTCCCAATCTCTTTAAGAACGCTCCAAAGCGAGTTGGAGAGGCGGGTGGACGTACTAACAAAAAGCAGGTGGAGAGGAAAAACCGCAAACTGCAAAATCATGTGCAAAGAGCGCAATGACAACCCAGCCACTACGAACTGCATCTATCCCGAAAAGACTGCAGACTAGCTTTAATGCAGGCAAGAGTAAAACATTTAGGTGCCGCAGTACTGGCATCACTAGTAGATACCTCGAAGAGGTCGCCAGGTGAACTACTTGCCTTCGCAAAAACTACCGCGATTCTAAAGGCCTTCAACACCGCGTAAGATTCTCCAGGACCATCATTTGGACGTTGGTGCACTACGGTCAGTACATTCAAGTGGCCCGTATGACACCAGGCACGTGCCTGTTAGGTTAGGTGTTAGTAGGCGCGATGGAAAATATAGGACAGAATACGAGGAAATTTACTACCGTCGTGCTGCCAGATTGTTAGCATGCATGCTTACTAAGTGTGTTAGTATTAAAGATTTTAATTTGGGAAGGGAATCTACGTTAGAGATTAGTGTGTACAAATCATTATAATTTGCACATAACACTCTAAAAGGTTCATGCAGTTCAAAGGAGGTCCTACAGTGGCGCAACACTAATGGGATATAGGATCTAGTGGTACTACATGGTTCACTTGTTCTTTGTGTTTTTTGTTTTATTTTAATTGTGAACGAATTAGTTGCAAATCGGGTTATCTATTTATAGATTAAGCTGATAAGCTGTCGCTTGCAGCGTAGGTTAGTCTCACGTCTTTACTCAATGAAGCATGGAGTGAAACTGATAAATAAAGGTTATTCTTAGCATCGATCTACGATTGGCTAAGAAGATGATTTAAAGGAGTCTATTAGAATAGGAAGGTAATCTTTGGTTTGCGTCCCAATTTAAGCCGCGTATAGCGAAAAGTAAAAAGTTCTTTTGAACCGACCCGATCCGTTTACTATGGACGCCGTACTGAGGGCTCCAAACGCAGCATCCATACTCTATGATAGGACGAACTAAAGAAGTATATAAATATTTAGTAACATAGGGTCATTGAATTCCTTTGACCACCGTTTAATAAGTTTTGGGTCCAAGCGGACGCCCAAATCATCAACAGAATTAATTCTTTCCAAAGAGCAGCAGTTCAGCGTGTAAGTAGCAAGCTTAGGAATGACACGAGAAAATGTCATTATCTTGCATTTTGAGCTATTTAAATTTAATAAGTTTACACGGCACCAAGTTTGAAAATTATTGAGATATGGTTGTAAATCCGAGTGGCAGGCAACGTCATTATATTGCACGCAAAGCTTGACGTCATCCGCGTACATAAGCACTCTGGAATTAGTCAAGACTTTGGGCAGGTCATTTATAAACAATGCAAACAATAAAGGTCCCAAATGGCTTCCTTGCGGGACGCCAGATGTAACCCTTAGAACATTAGATAAATTATTAGAAAAATCAGATAACTCGAGATCCAATTAAGATCACTTAAAAAACCCATTAAATCGAGTTTTCTAACGAGGAGAGAATGGTTAACAGATTCAAATGCTTTACTGAAATCAGTATAGATTACTTCTGTCTGAAAATTATTATGGAATCCCTTTATAATATAGGAAGAGAGCTCCAAAAGATTTGTTGTTGTTGATCTTCGCTTAATAAAACCATGTTGACATGGAGAAATAACCGATCTACAAAGGTGCTGTAAGTGAGGGGTGATAATGTTTTCAAAAAGTATAGGGATGGCCGACAACTTAGAGATTCCTTTATAATTGCTGGCATCCAATTTGCTTCCTTTTTTGTGAAGAGGAGTAATAAACGATTCCTTCCAAATAATGGGAAAGTGGGCGGTTTCTTAGGACAAGGTAAACAATTTCAGAAGGGGATAGCCCAGGACGTCGGCACAGTACCTAAGCACACAGCCAGGAATTCCGTCGAGACCTGGCGAATAAACTGGCTTTACACGATGAAGATCTAAAAGGAGTGAGCTTTCGTTTAGGCTAGGACAGAAAATTAATTTCGATTTGGGTATGTCGTAGGAATAAGTCTGGTATTTATACGAAAGCTAGAATAGGTTGTTTGAAAAACTGCGAAAATAGATCGGCTATTGCCTGATGATTATTTGCGGTAGTATTTTCAAATGAAAGCGAAAACGTGAAACGTTTAGTGTTAACGAAATTATTAAACTGTTTTGGGTCCGGTGAGAACTGGGCCCTACAACGAGTTAAATAGTTTTTATAACACTGCGCGTTCAGCACGGTAAAGTTTGACCGAGCTGATAAATAAATTGAAAGGGCAGATTGAGAACCGGTGATTTAAATTTCGCATACAGTCTAGATTTTATATTTTTAAGTAGGCTCAACTCTTTAGTAAACCCCGGCGGTTTATTCGAGCTTGGCGGATAATATAACGGAACACATTCAGTAAAAAATGAATTCATGGCACTGTAAAAAATATCCACGGCAACTGCCATGTCAGTGCACATGTATAGATCGGACCAATTGAACTCGTTTATAAAATTATTCAGCCGTTCAAAGTCCGTTTTGCGAAAACATAGGACTTTATTGGCTGGACGGTCAGAAATATTCTGTACGTCACACCCAATATCAAAAGTCACATCGAAAGTTGGATGATAAGGATCTTCGGGCTGCGTCAGAGGCGCCACCCTTGCTAAACTGATTCTCGCAGGATCAGAGACGAAGCAAAGATCAAGCAAGCGCTGTATGGAATTTCGGACATTGTTGACTAGAGACAGAAAAATGTTGAACAAGCCAGCGATAAAGTCATGTTGTGTAGGTGTATAGAGAGTATTGGTGGAATTATTTGAGCGCCAAATAGCACCAGGGTTATAAAAATCTCCTAGGACTACCAACTGGTCTCTATCCAAAAGTCTACTAGAGACCATCTCAACAGCGGAAAGGTGATTCCAATAAATAGGAAGTTCCGACAATGGAGGTATGTAGGAACAGGTAATAAAAATAAAACACACAGAGGAATTCTACATCGTTGCATTTTCGAAGGTTAATGTGAAAACAACATCGGGATAAATAAGGGCCATATTGGCCTATGATTGGCCCCCTCAGGAGGGCCATCCGGTTTAACCTAACTCTTCTTCAATTCCACTCCATCCCTTTCTAATTGCCTCGCCTTCCCTTTTTTAAGAGTGGGGTCGTGGGAACGTACATGTGCGCTCCGGGACCGCTCGGATCGCTCCCTCCCTTTCGCACTCATATATGTACACATCCTTGTTGGGGCGCTTGAACACTTGTTCACAAATGTCCTTTTACATACACTGACCCTAATTAATTGCATCTTTATTACCACATCCATTGACAGGTTGACAGCTTACCCTCATTAATTGCATTTTTATTACTCAATGCAATTATGGGTTGGCAAGAAAGTCATGTCGTTTTTTTCAATATTTTCAAAGATGATTTATTTATATCAGGACTTCTAATTAATCAATTATGTATTGGCCGTTTTGTTCGACCACTAATGACCATCTCTCGGGCAGCTGCATAATTCCGCGCTCGAAGAACTTTTGATCTTTTCCACCAAAGAATCGAGACAAGTGGT